GTACTGGAAAAGGTAACATACTCGAGCAATCTTGGAACAAGTGACCACTTGACAGTCATCCATGCCCGTGACCCAACTACATGGTTGTCGTTATCACTTGGTCTTATTGATGATAACCCTCGTAGGAGGCTGGAGGGCCTGATATGGCTGAACATACAAGGGTTTCAGGGCCACCAGAGAAGGAATGTGACAGTAGCAGTGCTGCCACGAGTACAATGCGACGACACCCAAGACACTGGACAATGAAAAGCTGTTAGGTTTGAGGTATACACCGTTTATCTTTTTTCCATGGTAAGTGCGTGAGAGAAAACTCATCAGTAAGCAAACTCTTAGTAAGCATCGCATTTAAATGTGAACGTATTGCTTTGCCCCAAATGTGCTTGTTCGCCACCCCGATTGATTACCTCATGGGGTGGCTTTGAAGTTAGTGGTTGACACGCAGAGATGTTTGTAGTTGTCGTAATACCTTGTTTGTAATGCATTCATTTGCCAGCCATGAATTCGTAATGAAAGCATTTTTTGTTTTTGTCTGCAAAATTATCATATTTATGTGCTTTGTCTCCTTCCCCTTCCCTGGAATTGCGAATTACATAAATGTAATTACAGCAATATTGCATTCATGGAACCTTATAAAGCCATAACACATCTATAATAATAGGAAGAGGTCCACTGGGAACACCACTGCAACCCTCACAGTAATACCTAAATGCAGCACCAACAACAACAACAACAGCAGCAGCAGCCCCGCCGGCACGTAGAAGCCATATCAAAACACCAGAACATTACCACAATAATAACAAATTTAGGAAAGAGCAACGCTTCCAGCGGAATCATCGGAGTTCCCCTGGAAGTGGTAGGAGGGAGAGCGCTGGGAACGGTATGGGCGGCGGCAGCTACAATAGTTTGGCTCATAGTCTGTTGTTGGGTTACGGGCTATTCATGCCCGTGCCCAATCTGTTGTTGGTAACTCTAGGTGCTGGACGATGAGGGCATCTCTCTTCTGGGCAGACCCAGGGGCGCCGCTGAGGAGTGTCCATGAGAATACTAAGGGAAGGGGGGTGGTTGTTGTTGTTTAAGATTCAGCTACTGGGAACAAAAAGTTGTAAGTAGCACGGGCTATGGTGAGCCCCGTGAAGGACTTACCTGGCACAGGAGCGGGGCTGTAACTTGTCGGGGAAGGAGGTGGGGAGGGGTGGATTGCCACCTATATATATGGAATGTTCCTCTGACGTGTGTCCACTCCTTCCCTACGTCTCATATTTATTTCCCCATCTCTCTCTTTTCTCTTTCCCTCTCACTTTTTCTTTGACTTTTCTCTTTATTTCCATCCGTCTTTCTCTCACTATTATCTTTCCCTCTTTCTATCACTGTTATATTTCCCTCTTTCACACACTATTATCTTTCCCCTCTTTCTCACACTACTATTCTTCCCTCTTTCTCACACTACTATTCTTCCCTCTTTCTCTCACTACTATCTTTCCCTCTTTCTTTCACTACTATCTTTCCCTCTTTCTTTCACTATTATCTTTTCCTCACTATTATCTTTCCCTCACTATTATCTTTCCCTCACTTTTTCTTTCCCCTCATTCTCACACTATTCTCCTGCTCTTCGTCTTGCCCTCGTGGTCCAGGGGGAGAACAAGGCAATATCGTGGGCGGAGGTGCGGTAATATTGTGCGCGGGTTTTCTGATATTGTATACATTTGTCGCTGCCTTGGTTTGCTGGTAATGTCCGTGTCCCGGATCCACCTTGGTTGTAGGGGGAGAAATCTTTCCATCGGCCACTCTTCCGAATCCAATTTTTCACGAGGTCTCTTTGGACAGATTCGTGGATTCGTGGTGTTGCAGGGAAGAGGTTGAGGGACTTGAGGAAGCGTTGTATAGCCCATCTTCTAAATCTCTCTCTCT